AAAGGTTTAATTGAATCTAGTAATATATCAAATAAAAAGATTTGGAGTAAAAAGTACGAAGGGTTATGAGGAAAAAGTGTTTTTAAATAGCAGCAAAAAATAAATGCCAATAAAGATAAAAATCTTGTGGGCATAACATATGCTATAACTTTTGTTAATTTATTCAATAAATTTATTATTAAAAAAGGAAAAACAAAAGGAGATACATAAAATAGATAAAATAAGAGATCCATAGACTTTGCCCAAAATATACAGATTAGAAGCAAAGATAATATGATCTTAATTAAAGATGAAATATAAAGAAATAGGAAAATACTGTTTTGAAAAATTATTAAAAGAGTGTTTAAAGGAATAAATTATTTTTGAATAGCATAATAAACAATATAAGGCTCTATTCAAATTAAAAATAAAATGATATTTCGAGAGTCATATCAGAAATTTAGTGGCTTGGTTAAAATTTTTAATAGAATTTTGAAGGCAAAAGGATAATTAATACTTGAGAAAAAAATATATTTTTATGATAATATTTAGAAACAGAGAAGACTCAAAACTACACTATCGATAGAGTAATAAAACTTCTAAGCCATATGATGAAGTTATGTGAAAAAAATAGAACATAAGCTTAAAAAATTATGTCAGTATTTGGAATCAATTTAATTTTGAGATAGAGAGATCCATTATGAAAACTATTTTTTTGTTAGAATAATGAATGAAAAAAATTTAGAGAGCAAAGAAAGGATCTTCATCTGAAATTTATTGATATTTGAGAAAGCATATAACTGAGTATCGTGAGAATTAATTTGATGCGGATTAGAGTAAAAAGGTTTTTGTTAAAAGTATATTAATATTATTAAAGATAAATATTATTTATTGAGTATTGATTAGTGGTAAAAGTGATTATAAAGTAATCAAATAATTTCCGATTACATCAACAAAGTGCAAGGATACCATTTATTTTTGCATTGCTTATAAAGGATAGCTGAAAAAGTGAGTTATCTTGATATGTTCTCTTTATAGATAATATAATTCTAATTGGAAAGATGGCCGCTAAAAAAAGTAAAAAGTTAGAACAATATAACAAATTTCTAGAAAATAAGTGCTCACAATTAATAGAAAAAATATTGAGTATAAGATTTGCAATGTTAATGAGTAAGATATTAACAATTATTTACCAATATTATTAGATAACAAAATGATATATAGATTTGATATGTCTAAGTGTCCTAAATTTATTATACAAATGAATAGAAATATAGAAGAGAATATAACTTCTAGAGTAAAGGTTGAATTAATAAAAATGGAGAAATGCCTCAAAAATATTACGCAATAAGAAGATATCATGGAAACTCTTTCATATTTTAAATAAAATCATAATTAAGGCGCAAAGTTGGGCGAATCTAAGTATTAGTAAAAAAAAATAATACTTTGGGTGAATATGAGTGTTGATCCACAAATGGATGAGGACCTCTTTTATGGTGTACAAGTCATCCGGGAGATGCTCTCATGCCTGTGTCATCTTTAGCCTCGATGTGCAAAGTGGCACATGCTTCTTGACTTGATCTGGCTCAATGCCTTTTAATTTAAATTCAACTCCTGGTTGTCGTCATGCATCCTCAGTTCCCTTTAATTTGATTCATTCCTCGATATCCAATCCATCTTCTCCAATGCATGCTCATTAGGTAGCCTATCCTAATGGGGCTATTCCTTCACCTCCATCAGTCCCAATGCCAAAAATTTTCCTCATGGTTCCTCATCATACTATCTGACCAACTATGGTTGATATGTCTCATAATGTCAAACACTCATTGGCCATTTGTTGAAGTTGTTGATGGGGGTGATGGCTCCAAAAACTCAAAGGGCTTTGTCTACCCAATTTTCTTTGTTTTTTTTTCTAAGGTACCCTCATCAAGACAGGAAACCCTCCACATTTCAGGGTAAGACAACTCTTATTTTCACAAAATCTAGGCTTTTTTATATAATACTCCATTCTTTTTCTCAACATGGGAAAACTCTCGATACGGCATCCATGCTTGCGATTAAGTGTAAATTTATGCCCTACATTTAGCTAGAGAATATTCTATTGGACTTCTTGATCATCACCATATTATTAGCAAATTATCGATGGAAGTGGATTATTCTAAAATATTCTCAAAATAATCTTATAATACATGTGGTTTTCTAATGTGTATGTTAAAGTGGTCCCATCAATTTGACTCATCCAAGAAAATGCTAATCACTCCAGTTTGATTTCCTTTCTTCAGCTTCAAATATACAATTTCAATCAATCTGCATTATATTCTTTAGTTCTATCTTTGGCAAACGCTTGCAAGTTGATGTCACTATCACTTGTCTTTCCAAATATCCATAGCAAGGTTTGTCGTGAAAATGGAAATTATTATACCTCTGAATAGCGAGATTCAGATTGGATCTTCTCGCGATTACTGACAGCATGTTGTATTTGAAATGATTTTTGTATTACATCTCTTGTAAAATATTTGGGCATAAATAATCTGATTGCTATTAATCATCCAAAATTGAGGAACTTTTTAAGTTATTGATCCTAATAGTCATCAATAAGGGGAGCATATAAATCATCGAGATCTTTCTTTACTAGTGGTGGATGCAATTTTCGTAATATTTCATTTTTTCAGGAGGTGAATGTCCCAAATTTAATATATCCCACTTTCCGCACATCTCAAAATTTATAAATAATATTTTATAAAATTCTATAATTTGTATTGATTATTTGTGTGTGTGTGTATATATATATATATATATATGCAAGTATATAATCTTATATAAATTAAATTTGATTTAATTAAATTTACCTATGTTAACTTTATAATTTTACTATTTACTCAACTATTGCACTATAGCATTCAAGTGGTTTCCGCCTCTTCCACTTTCCTTCGCATGCAACAGATGATGAGATGATGAACGAATGTGATAGTTTAGCATAAAGTTATATAACAATTATATAAGTATTTATATTAAAACACCTAAACAAACAAGTCTTATCCTCATTTCACCATCCCGTGCTTAGCAGCCAGGGCAAACAGTGACTGGAACGGCTCTGGGCTGAAGAAGAGAAGTAGGGAGGAGAAAACTGAGTTTTGGAGGTAGTACAATTTTTTGTAATTTCCTTCGTTATACTGATTATAAATAAGAGTTGAGTAGCTAGGGATTTATATGAGCAAATATTATTTTGATGTAAAAAGCATTATTTTGAGGATAACTTTCAATTTAACTAATTCAGAAATTCAAATTGGATATTTATGAGAAAAATCTATTATTAGGTAGTATACAAATCAAAGAGGTGACGGGGTGTTAGAAGTGAGATAATTTATCCGAGGATTGACAGTCAACACCTTCAGCCCAGTAAGATACGCAATTTTAATTTCAAAAAACAAATTAATTACAATGTTAATTTCAGTATCTGTCTTCTATGAAACTTTGAATATAAAGTTTATCTTGTTCATTTTAAAAGTGAACGCATGAAAAATAACAAAATGAAAAATGAGATGTATATATTTAGATGTTCGAATAATGAAATTTAATGAAAAAAGCTTTAGAAAGATCATGTATATTGACCGAATTGCAAGTGACAAATAATACAAACTGTGCAACAGGCGCGACAAAGGCAAGTCCATCGGAAGGCCAAAGGAGTCTTTCAATTAAGTTGTTTATGTTGACCTATACAAGTAGGGTAACAACGCCAAGCCTATCAGAAGGCCAAAGGGTCCTCAACACATAGCTTTCAAGCTATGTTAGCCAAATGAACTCCATTCACATACATGATATATTCTAAAGTTGAAAAAAGAACTATATATGATACACGTAATCAATAAAAGAAGTTTGTATATGGTTGATTAATAGTGTTATGAAATATAATTATTACCTAAAACTTAAATGTTTTTCTAAAATTTGTTTCAAATCAAATATTTTGCTTACGAAGTACATCAAATGCTAATTCAGGTATTTCATATACAAGGACTTCAGGTATCATATAAACTAATAGTTTAATATACAATTAAAATCATACAATAATTACTTTTTATCTTTAAATTGTTTATCTTACTGAGCCTCTTTCTACTTATACTCTAATAACTCTATTAATTTAAAAACTATTTTAAGGAAAAAGAAAAAGGTAGAACTTGAATAAGGGTCCTATTTTGATATTTTGGGTGTACAGTTTTTGATATGCAGTATTCATATAAGATAGTTTTGGCAGGTATTTCCAGTATGATTTTTATGAAATTACGATATACATAAAATTTTGAAACATTTTAGCAACTATAGAAAAATAAATGATTGTTGCTTGAATGTTTCTGTGCTAGAAAATTTTATAATGTGCTCAATAGAATGGTCAATGTTTTAAATTTTGGATAAGAAGTTATAATATGTAAAATGCAGTAGTGTATTTTTCTGTCTGCCTCATGTCGACCCATAGGGGTCAGTGTGGGTTGTGACAATTTCACCTTAAATAATTCAAACATGCATATGAAATTTGGAACAAATTCTAGATGGCACATGAAATCAAATCTTTCAAAGCCTCTCCTTTACTGAATTAAGCACGAAGAAGGATATAATAATGTCAACAACATCCAAGAACATTTGTACAGATCCTCTGGATGAGTTAGCCCCTCATTCCATTCTTATTATTGAGTGTGTTGATGCCACAAACTATGAGCAAGCTTTCTGATTCAGATGATAGTTTATTTAGTATTGATGCTGAAGTGAATAGGACATTTCATATCCCCGTTTTCTTCTCATTTCCTTGAATAAACTTATGTATTGAAGTGCATTGTGTATTGCATTTACATGCAAGTAAAATTAAAAATCTATATTAAAAAGAATGTCATTTGTTCATTTTACTTTCAGCAAAATAGACTTGATTCATAAGAAATTCAACAGCTTGATACCCAGTAAATTATCTCAAAAATAAGAAGTAGAAATGATGCAATAAAATCTACAAAATTATTAAAATCCTGCAAGGATACCTGTACAGCAATGAAAGAAAACACTGTATGGTTTAGTTTCCAGTGCCCGAGTTCATGGGCAATAACAGCAACAACTTCATCTTCATTCTTGCACTGCAAAATATCAAATTAACCAACTGTTAAACAAATAAATTATTGTCAAATTAAATGATCATTGTTGCTGCAGCAAACTAATGCAGCTACAGGCATGCTCAAGTGTTGTCCTGGATACAACCATAATTAAAGGATTTACATTAAAATTTTTGTATCATTAGTGTCCAAATGTTCAATTAAGAATTAAAAAAAAAAAGATGTTTAAATCAAGCATACAAAAGAAATAAGTGAAAAAATAATAATAGCTACTAGATGTAAAGTTTAAGACCACTTGAAAAGAACCAACAAAAATGCAGAGCATTGGCATCTTCGGAAAACGTAACACAAGTCCACCATGATGGTAATCAAATGAAATATCATTAAGCTACTTACTGCCCAAACAAAAGAAAGACACAGTTGCATTAAATAGTGTACACTCCAACTGTTAAAGTCAGGAGAATCGTATGTATCCCGTGAATGTGTCGTACACCCCGTAAACATTTGTCTTTGGAAAAAATTTAAAATAGTACTTCGTTAAGTGCCAAAAGTTATACGACCCTTCATTAAAGTGTGTGTGACGTGCCAAATCACCAAGAGCATGTTGCCTAAGAACCCCTAGTGTATAATGCACATGTACCAGAGACATACAAAGGCATTATATAGATACATCAAGTGGCATGTATGTACACCGTCAATCACGTGGGTAGGGCTGCAAACGAACCGAACCGAGCCGAGCTTTATCCTGCTCGAGTTCAGGTTGGTTTATCAAAACCCAGCTCAAGCGCCGCTCGAAGCTCTTCGAGCTTCATGAACCCATGTTCGAGCTCGAGCTCGTTTGAAAAAAACATGTTCGAGCACGGCTCGAGTTCATATTCAAGCTCGTTAAATTTTGCTTAACGAGCAGCTTGTTTAAATGAATCGAGCAGCTCAGTTAAATATTCTGACTAGATAGATAACCCGCCCCCGCCTACTAGCCGCTCTTCGCTCTTGCCATTACATGAACTTGTTTTTATATAGCATAAGCAATGTTCTCCAAGCGGTGAGGGACTAAATCGCCTACAGATTTTTTTTTTAATTTGTTTACGCGGAAAGAGAGAGAGAGAGAGATTGAGGTGGGAGAATATTTCTAATTAGTGTTTAGAAGAAACATTCATTTAAAACTGAGAGGTCACAAAACGCACTTAGTAAAAATGTACGAGTACATTATACAATTGCAAGTGTATTATGCACAATGCTAAGCAACATACGAATGCACTTGAAAATATTCAAATTGCACGTATACAATATACAAATATATCATGCATACATACCAAACAACGTTCAAGCATACCATATGCACAAACTAAATGGTATGCAAGTGCATCATAGCTAAATATTGAAATATATATAAGTATGTTATATAAATGCATTATGTAAATGTACCATACAAATGATTATGCATATCTTAACAAATACAACAATCATCATGTAAATGTATTATGCTTGTCACACAAATGCACTGTGTCATTTATACAGATGTGTCATGCCAATCCTCAATGTGCATTATGTTAAACATACAAATGCATTATACCAATCATGCAACATGCAACATGCATCATGCATCATGTAAACCATATGACTGCATTATGTAAAAATGAGCTGAAAAAGCATATTCTGCATGGGCCCCGACAAACATAACACATACACGCGACGTCTGAAGAAGTTGCACGGACTAAAGAAATAATGAATGAATTTTCAAGTGCACGAGATACATCGTACAAGTACATAAAATGACAAGTGTGTCACACTATTAAACTCTTGTCTGATCCTCCTCTTTGAATGGATCGGAGTTAACATGAACCATCAAACAAATATATGGTCTTAATGTTGACCGGAGTGTTTAATTTTATACGTTCATATTAGGCCTTCAAAGCCTCTTATAAGAAAAATTCAATATCAAAATACAAACTCTCGAAACCAACGCTCACTGAATGAACCGAAGTATTTGATTTTATATATCATGTTATGCCTTCAAGGTTTTTTATGAAGAAAATTCATATATTAAAATATATACTCTCGGTTCTGATATTTCTATGATAACTCCAAAAATTGGGAGTTGAACTCAACCCTTTGTTGGCAAACAAATAGAGTCAACAAGGTTTGACTAATGAAATGAAATTACCCATAATCCCCAATAATGACTGTGTTGAAAGCTAATCTCAACCGAAGGGGACTACTATTTAAAATGCCTCACAAACTCATGAAAATATAATCTTTTAAAGTGATTGCAAAATCACGCCAATGATGACCGTGTTAAAAATTAATATCAACCGAAGGAGTCAATATCTTTTAAACACCCCTAAATCTCAAAATTAATCATTAAGGGGCTTTGACTTTAATAAAAGTTGAAAACTCAAAAACAATCACTAAAATTTAAAATATCAAGATGAAATACATCAATTAATAACTTCAAGAAAAAATCCATCAACCATTCACAATAGTTTGTCGAGATAGATAAATTTCAAAATCACTTCAGCTTACAAAAAATGAATGTCTAGTCGAGAATATCACTATGATTCATTTTCAAACTATTTACTACTAGTAAGGATGGGGCACGTGTCCTCTAATCGATAGTCTCGCCGCCAAATGTCACTGCAAGTAAATAGTTATGATCAAGGCCCTCTGACCATGTGATTTTGCTATCAAAAGGTACCTATAAATTATGGTCATGATTAGATGTGTCAATTTTTGACACGACCCGAAACCCGGCCCAGACCCGACCTAGAAAAATCCGAGTTCAGGTTTACCAGTTTGTGAAACGGGTGTGGTTCGGGTTCAACATTTTGACCCATTTCAAGAATCGGGTCGGGTTCGGGTTGACGCAAAAACGGTGTGCCCACGTCGCCTGATACGTCGAGTCGCGTCATGCATGTCCCGTCTATTCGTGACGCGAGTCAGTAGCCCTGACGAGCCTCTTCGGCCTCTTCACCCGACACACCACCGCTGCTGTCACTGTCACTGTCGCTACGCTGCCACTGTCATTACTTCACCGCCGGCTTCAATTGAAACCGGAAGGAGGAAGTAGCGACAGGAGCTCAGATCACGTAAATTCGGGTCTTGTCAACCTGGTAACCCGGTGAGTGGGGTTCAGGTGGTGTCAAATAGCGTCAGGATAGTTCCGGGTTCGACCCAAACTCGACCCGTTGATCTGAATTGACTCCCCTAGTCATGGTCACAACCCATATGTTCCCTAATGGCTCTAAATCTTTAAGTAATGAATCAATAGGATATAATCGATATGACACAAAGCTCCTTGTTAGCTAAGGTGGACAAATTTATCCCTTTAGGCAAATATTTACTCCAAGTCTACAAGATACCCTTGTATGAAGCAACTCATGGCTGCAAACAAGAATCCTTCGGTCAGGTTGGGTCGACTACCATCTCTGACTGAGTAGACTAGGGACCATGATAGTCCGGAACGACGGAACCATAGAATCTTGATCGAATTCATCATCATTCCCCTCACTATCTGCTTTAAGTGCACTGTGATAAATTTTCAATTTTTCAATATTTAATTCTGCTTTTATTATACTATCGAGCTTCTAAGAGAGACTGTTCGTGAACATAAATAAATCGAACAACGTGTTATTCAAGCTCGTTCATTTAGCTATCGAGTATTTCTCAAATGTGTTCAAACTCGTTTGTTTACCTTATCAAAAGAACATGAGCGAGCCCTTATCGAGCCGAGCCACGAGCAGCTCGTCGAATGCTCGGTTCATTTGCAGCCCTACATGTGGGTGCGTCACAAAACGCACTTAGTAAAAATGTACGAGTACATTATACAATTGCAAGTGTATTATGCACAATGCTAAGCAACATACGAATGCACTTGAAAATATTCAAATTGCACGTATACAATATACAAATATATCATGCATACATACCAAACAACGTTCAAGCATACCATATGCACAAACTAAATGATATGCAAGTGCATCATAGATAAATATTGAAATATATATAAGTATGTTATATAAATGCATTATGTAAATGTACCATACAAATGATTATGCATATCTTAACAAATACAACAATCATCATGTAAATGTATTATGCTTGTCACACAAATGCACTGTGTCATTTATACAGATGTGTCATGTCAATCCTTAATGTGCATTATGTTAAACATACAATGCATTATACCAATCATGCAACATGCAACATGCAACATGCATCATGTAAACCATATGACTGCATTATATAAAAATGAGCTAAAAAAGCATATTCTGCATGGGCCCCGACAAACATGACACATACACGCGACGTCTGAAGAAGTTGCACGGACTAAAGAAATAATGAATGAATTTTCAAGTGCACGAAATGCATCGTACAAGTACATAAAATGACAAGTGCGTCACACTATTAAACTCTTGTCTGATCCTCCTCTTTGAATAGATCGGAGTTAACATGACTTGAACCATCAAACAAATATATGGTCATAGTGTTGACCGGAGTGTTTAATTTTATATGTTCATATTAGGCCTTCAAAGCCTCTTATAAAAAAAAATCAATATCAAAATACAAACTCTCGAAACCAACGCTCATTAAATTAATCGAAGTATTTGATTTTATATATCATGTTATGCATTCAAGGTCTTTTATGAAGAAAATTCATATATTAAAATATATACTCTCGGTTCTGATATTTCTATGATAACTTCAAAAATTGGGAGTTGAACTCAACCATCTGTTGGCAAACAAATAGAGTCGACAAGGTTTGACTAATGAAATGAAATTATCTATAATCCCCAATAATGGCTGTGTTGAAAGCTAATCTCAACCGAAGGGGACTACTATTTCAAATGCCTCACAAACTCATGAAAATATAATCTTTTAAAGTGATTGCAAAATCACGCCAATGATGACCACGTTAAAAATTAATATCAACCGAAGGAGTCAATATCTTTTAAACGCCCCTAAATCTCAAAATTAATCATTAAGGGGCTTTGACTTTAATAAAAGTTGAAAACTCAAAAAAACAATCACTAAAATTTAAAATATCAAGATGAAATACATCAATTAATAACTTAAAGCGAAAATCCATCAACCATCCACAATAGTTTGTCGAGATAGATAAATTTTAAAATCACTTCAGCTTACAAAAAATGAATGTCTAGTCGAGAATATCACTAGGATTCATTTTCAAACTATTTACTACTAGTAAAGATGGGGCACGTGTCTAATCGATAGTCTCGCCGCCATATGTCACTACAAGTAAATAGTTATGATCAAGGCCCTCTGACCATGTGATTTTGCTATCAAAAGGTACCACTAAATTATGGTCATGGTTAGGTGTGTCAATTTTTGACACGACCCGAAACCCGGCCCTGGAAAAATCCGAGTTCAGGTTTACCAGTTTGTGAAACGGGTGTGGTTCGGGTTCAACATTTTGACCCATTTCAAGAATTGGGTCAGGTTCGGGTTGACGCAAAAACGGTCTGCCCACGTCGCCTGATGTGTCGAGTCGCATCACGCGTGTCCCGTCTCTTCGTGACGCGAGTCAGTAGCCCTGACGCGCCTCTTTGGCCTCTTCACCTGACACACCACCGCTGCTGTCACTGTCACTGTCGCTACGCCGCCACTGTCATTACTTCGCCGCAGGCTTCAATCGAAACCGGAAGGAGGAAGTAGCGACAGGAGCTCAGATCACGTAAATTCGGGTCTTGTCAACCTGGTAACCCGGTGAGTGGGGTTCATGTGGTGTCAAATAGCGTCAGGATAGTTCCGGGTTTGACCCAAACCCGACCCGTTGATCTGAATTGACTCCCCTAGTCATGGTCACAACCCATATGTTCCCTAGTGGCTCTAATTCCTTGAGTAATGAATCAATAGGGTATAATCGATATGACACAAAGCTCTTTGTTAGCTAAGGTGGACAAATTTATCCCCTTAGGCAAATATTTACTCCAAGTCTACAAGATACCCTTGTATGAAGCAACCCATGGCTGCATACAAGAATCCTTCGGTCAGGTTGGGTCGACTACCACCTCTAACTAAGTAGACTAGGGACCATGATAGTCCGGAACGACAGAACCATAGGATCTTGATCGAATTCATCATCATTCCCCTCACTATCTACTTTAAGTGCACTGTGATAAATTTTTTATTTTTCAAGATTTAATTCTGCTTTTATTATACTCTAGATACTACATATCTGTTCAACGACTAGCCTTAATCGAAAGTTCTCTCTCATTATCGAGAGGGGTAATTAACTATAGGAGCTTACACCTATAGGAAACCAGAACTCATATCATAAAGTCATCGCAAAATGATGATGAAATCTCTAGCTAGTGTCTTATCTAAAAATCCAATCTTCTGAAAATTTACCTTGAAATCTAAACTCGTTAAAACTCTCCTCGCCGACACAAAAAAAGAGGTCGCCAAGAGGCTAGGAAGCGAATTTTCGGAGCCCACAAGTATTTCAAGAAATCTAGGTTTACGAGAACGGTTAATTGTCATTGCTTGTAAAATAGAGTTTAAAACAAGAACGGTTAATTGTCATTGCTTGTAAAATAGAGTTTAAAACCTTCAAATTACAAACATTTTTTTTTAAAAAGACCAAAATACAAGGAGTTGCATGCAAATAGTATTCAGATATAACATGCGCTCAATTTATGGGAAATATGATGTATATGGACCTCACCTTTTTATTTATAACTTTATTAGTATTTATTTATTTATTCAAGTTAGTATGAAACTAAGCTCACCTTACCTTGAAATTAGCCCTTGCTCACACTGTTTTGACCAGAGTCAAAAGCTGCAAACCTGAATTGAGATTGACTCGTTCAAACTCAACTCATAGCTGTGTTAGGTGCAGGGGTGTCAATTTTTGACACGACCCGAAACACGGCCCGAACCCAACCCGGAAAAATCCGGGTTCCGATCAACCCGAACCTGAAACGGGTCGGGTTCGGGTTCAACAAACCAACCCGTTTTAAAAATCGGGTTGGGTTCGGGTTGACCCAGCAACCCGAAATTGACCTGAAAGTGACACGAAAACTCATTTTTGACCCGAAAACACGAGATTGATCCATTTTTCACTCGAAAACCTGAGATTGACCCGATTTTTTACCCGAAAACTAGCAATTTTGGGTCAAACCCGGGTCATTCGTGTCGGGTCGGGTTCGGGTCCGGAAACCTGACCCGTTTTTAAAAACGGGTCGGGTTCGGGTTGACCCGATAGTGCCGGGTCAGTTACGGGTTCGACCCGAACCCGACCCGTTGACCCGAATTGACACCCCTAGTTATGCGTATGGTACATGACTAATATTGTCTAGATGTTTATAGGATAAAGCACATTGAACAAGTTAATCATTGACTGATTTACTTCTAAAGCATGAGATGTTTTTGCATCATATCTTTTGTAGTTTCATAGCTAAATTTAAAAGTTGTTTATTATACTTTACTTTAAGGTGCGTGAAGAAAATTTCGTGGCTCTTACTTGTGAGATATTATTAAACAAAATTTGTTAAACCAACGTCATAGGTAAAATATATGTGTGTATTCATGGATAGACACAACCTACACAAGACTTCTTTGTATCATATTTTCTTAAGATTTTCAATATCTACAAACCCATAAATCATATATTATCTAGCACACAACAGAGCACACGCAGTGCACTAACCTTACACCTACATTTACAAAGGTTATTTCTCCATCTCGAAACTGAGATCTCTCAATCGAGGCCCACCCTCATATAGTCTAACACAAATTCATAAATCACATGTTGATCAACTACAACTCTTACTAAACAGGCATTTCAAGGAATAGCATCATAATTTGAATTAATAAAAATTCCAACAACCTAACATGTTAGCTAGAAAGCACAGTAGGAAAAAACAAACAAACATATAAACAGAAAGCTCATATATGGAGCTCAAACAATTCATTGGTTCTTGTAGATACGTCTATATGCTTTGCCTAGTTAGGTGCTTCACAGCATGTAAGATGATCGGTGTTGCACAATATCAGAACTGGAAACATATCAAAATGTAATACTAAGTTAGAACTTAGAATTTTATTTGATGTAAAGCTTTTATGATCAAACAAAAATATTCCATGGTATGAAAAATTCGTCATTTGCTACGGATAGGGCCAAGTGATGAAAATGTATTGACAAAATAAAACAATGCATAAAATCACACCTGTTGGATTAATGTATCATAAAGAACAATGCGCTTGTTCTTGAAAAATCCATACATGTACGCCTGCCAAAGATCATATAAACCAAAATCAGAAGCATATTAACATTTAAAAAATTTTCGGACATATTGACAAGAAGTTCAGCATAAATCTAAGTAATCATATCAAGTTAATGGCTCCAAATTATTTTTCAAATAAGCATTAACTTTTGGAACCTGAGAATGGATCAGTCATGACAAACAATCCATTATCTTTACAGAGTTGTTGCACATGCCGCCTCAGTAAACCAAAAATCATGGTCAAAGAGGAGAGTAGGCAGCTGCAGCAATGATTGGATTGCCTACACCACGACCTAGATGTCACTGTTATTATAACTAGAGTTCACAGTTCCAAATCTTGGAAATTTTACATGGCATCTTAACAAGAGTTCCTAGAGCTTGAGAAACTTAGCTGTTACTGAAACTTGATCTTAAAATAAGTTTAAAAGGCTTGTACATGCATCAAAGATAAAAAATTCTACACAAATTTTACCACCAAGGAATTTCCTAATTATCATAGCCCTTCCGATAAGTATGGGAGTAGAATGTAATTTTATCCTATTAAGAGTATTTTTTCAACAATTAATAAAACAATGTAATGTCACAACTTATGAGAAATTTAGCTATTTTATTTTATCTATTTTATTTTCTCGCTAACATAGTTTCTAAAGAATGTAATGTCATTTGTAAAGAAAGAATCTCAAGAACAAAGACCCGTCTAAGTCAATGTGATGCATTATAACTCTTAGAGACTATTTGGGGTAGCTATAACATTTTGTAAAGTTGTTGTAGGGAAATTAACTTTTTGAAAAGTGCAATGAGTATTATAGATGTTTTCTTTAAAAAAAAAATCATACAATAGCTTTCTCATATCTACAACACATTAACAGATCTGGTTATAAAAGGCAACTATTTAAAACTATGGCCTAAAAAGCAAAACAATGAGAAAGCTGACTCAAACAAACCTTAAGGATTAAAATTCCAAGTCCATAAGTAGCTTCTTTACAAAAAAAAAAAAAATCATCCGCATTTGTTATGTTGTCATTTCGCATCATAACCACTCATTTACGACAATGCTATTATTCACTTCTTCCTACTTTGTTATCACTATTTCTTCACACCAGCTTTGTCGAGCAATGCTATTTTTTTCCATTTCCCAAATGCTGCTCCTTTCTCTGCTATCACTTTCTCCATCATGCACTCACAATTTGGTAAAGCTCAACAAGTAGACAATGAACTTCAAGCACTTTGGATGCACCAAGCTCAAGCAGACCCAAGCTCACATCAAGCTAAAGATCAGTAGATGTAAAACAATACAAACCGAAGAGAAGAATGCAAGATCCTTGCCTTGAGTATGAGGTATGTGGTCAAGTTTTGGGAAAATTTAGCAAGCATACTTATTGTTGAAATAATCATAAGTCCATGGCCAGCAATTTTCTATCTACAGCAATCAAGCATTTCATGAAATCAGCTTTCAAACTATAACAATCAAGCAATTTGAGGACGGCAAAGCCCTGCATTGGGTACCCACACGGCCACACCCACCCATGTACCCACCCATACACAATGGGTATGGGTATGCCCACGGCCTTGTGTGTGTCGGTATGGGTGGGTACTCAACATCGAGGGATAAATTGATTTACATTACCAATCACCGTATATCTTATATTACTGCAATCCTCACTACGTAGTGTGCAGCACTTAATCACGTTGCGACTACGGTAAATTCTGATATGCGGCTTGAAAGTTTGCAATTAGAGCAAAGGGCAACAAGCCTCAAGGCCATCAGCCCGTGGTAGACTGTGTTCAAAAAGCATGGAAAGTGGGTGGGTATAGGTGGGTAAGACATCTTGAAAGTCACCATGGGTGGGCGAAGCCTGTCGGAGTAAAGCTTGGGTACCCAATAGGTATCCAACCAGGATGCCATGTAGGACTTTGGAGGACAGCCCCTTTCTATCTAAAAAATCCAGGAATTCATGAAGAATAACTTTCCATTTTTGTTGTGCAATTAGTTCTAGATTTCATACTTAGACACTAATTTTCAAATTTTTTTCTTATTTTATTATTTCTCTACCTACTTATATAAATTCTCATCTTATTTTTAATATAATTCAATCATATAATCTCTCATTTTTTACTCTCCATCTTCTAATTTTATTTTTCAAAATGGTATTAGAGACATTAAGGTTTTACTCCCAATTAGGCTTATGTGTCATTCAAAATAGACTCTCTCTCTCTCCGAGGCTTACGCCTCGTGATCCATGAGGCGCACCTCAGAGGCCCAATTGCGCAATAATGGGTGAGGCGCACGCCTCATAGAGCCGGGTCCCACCCACTTAAGTTCCTAATAAAAAAAACCCTATTTCCTCACTTCTTTCATTCGGCCTACCCGAACTAAAAGGAGTTCTCCGCAAGCCTAGATCCGCGACCTAGCTTCCCTTGACCAGCCTTCCCGCCGCCTCGAGCCGATGAGCTTCTAGTGTTCAGCCGCCCTCTACGACACATCTACTACCGGTTTTAGGTATTTTTTAATTCAAGGCTATGTAGCACATATACTCTTATTTGTGAGACATGATGTATCAGACACGTTTCGAATACGAATACGCCTCCGATACGGCACAGATACATGTCGGATACGTGTGTCCTATTAAAAAATTGAAAAAAATGGTACCGGAACTCGGTAATGCTCGGTACCGCTAGGAAATGCTCAATACCGCTCAGTACCTCTCTGCAACGCTCGATACCATGCTCAGTATCAATGCTCGATACCGCTTGGTACCGAGAGGTGCCGAATGGTACCAAGCGGCACCGAGAAGCTAGAGAAGCTTTAAAACAAATCTTACAATAAAAATTAGTTCCAGGGGCACTGCCCCCGAAAACCCCCGCAGGTCAAACCCCGCTAGGGGGCAGCGCCCCCTTGGACCCCCGGCATATCTGCGACATAGATTCAAGGTATGATTTTTCAAGTTATAGAAAATCTAGGGTTTAAATTTTTTTAAGATTTTTTGTTTGATTTTGCATTTGTGCATTAGGAAATATGGTTAGAGGAAAGGAAAAGTCAAATATGTCACTGCGGCGTAACCCTTCTTGGAATTACAGTGTGCAGGTTGACGTAGGAGGCAGCAAGAAGACATACGCGTATTTGAAATGTAATTTTTGTGATAAGATGATGAAGGGAGGAGTTACCCGCATGAAGGAACACTTATACGGTTTACATAAAAACGTAGCACCTTATGCGAATGTGCCGGATAAGATTGAAGGAAGAAATTACAGCTAACATGAAGAAGAGTACCACTGCCAAACATTTACAACATGAGCAATCTGATAAATGGGTAGAGCATGGTGCTTACTACGGGAGCGAGAGTGGAAATGACTCTTCCTCCACTATACATAGTAGAGGTGCCCGGGGTCCTATGGACCAATATATGATTAATCTAGGAGAGGATAGAGGAAAAACACAAATGATGCATGCTGCTGGTACTAGAGAGGGTCGACGAAAGGTTTGCATGGATATTTGCAGATTCTTTTTTGAGAATATCATTCCATTTAATGTTGCGACATCGCCGGCCTATTTCAATATGTTGTGATCTATAGGGTTGTATGGAAGAGGGTTGAAGGCACCTTCCATGTACGAGTTGCGGACATAGATTTTGAAGGAAGAGTTGCAGAACACAGAGCGGAGTATTGATGAGATTAAAAGGACATGGAGTGAGACATGTGTTACCATTATGTCAGATGGATGGTCTGACATGAAGAACAAGAGCATGATTAATATCTTTGTAAACAATCCCTATGGCACGGTGTTTTTACGATCAATTGAAACTTTAGATGAGGTTAAAAATGTTGATTTCATTTTCAATTTATTAGATGGGGTTATTGAGGAGATCGGGGAGCAATTGGTTGTTCAAGTTCAAGTGGTGACTAATAATGCCAGCGCATACAAAGCAGCTGGTCAGATGTTGATGGAGAAGAGGAAACACCTCTATTGGACACCCTACGCGGCGCACTATATTGATTTCATATTGGAGGAACTTGGTGATCTACCTCAACACAAGAGTGCCCTTTCTAGGGTGAAGAAGATTACAAAGTTTATCTACAATCACTCATGGGTCTTTGCCTTAATGAGAAAGTTCTCGAAGAAGGAAATCATTTGCCATGTTACCACTAGGTATGTTATTACATTTGTGCACCGCAAAGAATTTTCAATTTCTAATGCAAGTTTATCCTACAAGTTTGCCACATCTTATTTGACACTGCAGAGCATGTTGGATGTTAGGCAACCTCTTGAAGCCATGTTTACATCAACACAATGGCTTAATTGTGCATGGGGCAAGAAACCTGAGGAGAAGGAAATACGAAGGTTGATTCTGAATAATAAATTTTGGGCAAGTGTGACCTATGCCATATTGAGCACAAGACCCTTAGTACAAGTGCTACGATTAGTGGATGTCGAGAATAAACCAACCATGGGTTTTATATATAATGCAATGGATAAAGCAAATGAGTTGATTGCACATAACTTGGGAGGAGAGGAGGCCAATTATAGAGAGAATTAGGATATCATCGATGCTCGGTGGGAGGTCCAGTTACACCGTCATCTACATGCAGTGGTGTATTATCTCAATCCTCAATTTCAGTATTCAGAGAAGAAATCCTCAAATCCAGAGGTGAAGTCGGGCTTGTACCATTGCATGGAGCGGCTGATACTGGACCAGACTGTCAGGGAGCTTGCATATTTAGAACTAGTTTAATTTCGGAATAGGAAGGGATATTTTGGTCTGCAAGCAACAAAATCTACTATTGTCAAACGCTCTCCAGGTAAGCTTATTTTTTGTAAAGTAACCATATATGCATAACACTTTAATATGTTTTGATTATCATTTGTCTTCTTGAAAATAGTTGAATAATGGATCCAATTTGGTGATCTGGGCAGATTTTGCACCAGCAATATTTGCTAATCTAAAGATGTAGAATCTATAACTAGTTAATCTAAGACATGTAATGGTTAGTTTTTTTATTCAATATAA